CTGGAACAGAGGCAAGACAGGATGTTACATAGGTTTACTGGTCATATTAGATACAATGTAAAATAGCTATATTTGTGTTGTTGACATAGCGAGCCCTGGTTCCTTTCACCACCACTGTACAGAAAACTGTAGAGAAAAAAATTCTGCAATGAATCATTTTACATCAAAACACTACAAAAGACTAGTTTAGATTTCAATGATTGAATTATAAAAGAACAAATTACAAAGAATTCTCCTTTAATAGAAAGCTATATTATAAGTACACAGTCTATGTTAGAGATATTTTTTTACCCTGACTAAAAAGGTGCTAAAAAGGGAGTTGAATATCAACATAGGGTTTTGAAGTGTGCAACCTTTTACAGCCTTTTACAAGCAACCTTGAAACACAGCTGTTGAAGAACTCCAAGGAGAACAGGCTTTGTGGTGGTGAATACAGATAACACAGCCACACTGTTCCTCAGAGGAAGGTGAACACCTCCCTGCAGAGAAAGGATCAGCTCCACAGGCTCTCTCTCTCACCAGAAGGTCATCAGTAGGAATCATTTATTTATGAGTCCAGTTCTAGTCATTCATCCGCTAACCTTGAGGTCAGAGCTCAGTGAGAGGTGAGAGTCTCTGTGATAATGAAACACCGTCTATTTTTACCTTTTAGGTCAGGCTACTGCATCGTTAAGGAAAAGACACTTTCCAAATACTAGAGAAAATGAATGACATGACATTGGTTGTGTTAGTTAGTCCTACACATGCACACACACACACACACACACACACACACACACACATATATATATGTATATATATATGTATATATATAAAACCATCTCCTTGTTTCTACACTCATTGTCCATTTTATCAGCTCCACTTACTATATAGGTGCACTTTGTAGTTCTACAATTACAATTACAGACTGTAGTCCATCTGTTTCTCTGCATACTTTGTTAGCCCCCTTTTACCCTGTTCTTCAGGGGTCAGGACCCCCATGGACCCTCACAGAGCAGGTACTATTTGGGTGGTGGATCATTCTCAGCACTGCAGTAACACTGACGTGGTGGTGGTGTGTTAGTGTGTGTTGTGCTGGTATGAGTGGATCAGACACAGCAGTGCTGCTGGAGCTTTTAAACACTGTCCACTCACTGTCCACTCTATTAGACACTCCTACCTTGTCAGTCCACCTTGTAGATGTAAAGTTAGAGACGATAGCTCATCTGCTGCTGCACAGTTTGTGTTGGTCATCCTCTAGTCCTTCATCAGTGGTCACAGGACGCTGTTGGCTGGATATTTTTGGTTGGTGGACTATTCTCAAACTCCAGCAGCACTGCCGTGTCTGATCCACTCAGATCAGTGCAACACACACTAATACACCACCACCACATCAGTGTTACTGCAGTGCTGAGAATGATCCACCACCCAAATACTACCTGCTCAGTGAGGGTCCTGACCACTGAAGAACAGGGTGAAAAGGGGCTAACAAAGTATAGAGAGAAACAGATGGACTACAGTCTGTAACTGTAGAACTACAAAGTGCACCTATATAGTAAGTGGAGCTGATAAAATGGACAATGAGCATAAAAAAGGAGGTGGTCATAATGTTATGCCTGATTGGTGTATATATGTGTGTGTATGTGTGTGTATGTGTGTGTGCATTGCATTAATTTAGACACTGTTCAAACATTAAAGCAACGAGACAGACAGAGAACTAGAAATGAAATTAATCACTAAATGTAAAATTAGGTATATCATTTCAGTTGAGTAATTAGAAGACTATTAACAACATTCATTTGGTCGGATTTAAAGGGGGAGTTCCACAGTTTTTTTTATGTCTGCATAATTGAATGGTTAAGATGTAAACCACATGATTCAGAGTGGTTTGATGGGAAATGCTGCATTTTAGAGAAACTTACAGATTCAGAATTGTTCACAGTGGTGGTGATAGGAACCAGACGTCTGAAGAGTTTAATGCTCACAGAAAGTTGTTACATTAAATAGTTACGAATATGCTGCCTGTTATCTGAGATATTGTTTTGTGATAGTTTTGAGGCAAGGGTTTGGCCTAAAATATATGTTTTATATGGCAGAGTGGTATGTTCAGGGTCCCCAGAGGAAAAATAGTCCGTAAAAAAAACTTAGTTTTATGGATTTATTAGTTATTTTACCTTCATCAACTTTACATATACAAACATAAAAATATAGCTTTTCTGGTGGTTTTGGATAGTAAATAAAATGGCTATATGGGTGTTATTGGCATTGTGACCCCTGGTTCCTTTCACCACCACTGTAAAGAAATCAGAGTAGCTAAGTTTTCTTTGACAGATCATTTCACATCAGATCACTTTGAATGACTTTGTTTAAATCACAATGAATTAATTTGAAATTTTGATTAAAAAAAATCTGTGGAATTCCCCTTTAAGGCCTAATTTATTTATTACAGTGAATCAGGGTGAATAATCACACTCCTTTTTCAACACTATAAATACAGCTTTAAGAGTGGCTATTCTTTGAAGCCCTGGACTTTTTGTGGACTCATTGTATTTTTGGGGATCAAAGAGGATTAAGAACACAGTGGCTTAATTATCCTAAGGTGGAAGATGCATTCCAAGAAATGATCACATTAGAGCCCATTAGTGACTGTAATGAAATATCTTAGCATAAAATAATATTTAAAAAAAAGACATGAGGACAGACAAATAGCTGAACAGAAATGGTAATCATTAAAGCAGCACCTGGACTGGCCCTGTGGACCCTGCCAGTAATAGTGCTCTAAAAGCTTTAAGCCCCAAAGCATTAAGTAAAGAAGTCGTCTCATTTTTAGCTGTCGTTAAACCTGTTGAGTAATGGATTGCTGTTGGGCCTGTTGAGCAATGTATTGCTATTCTACTGCATTTATTTGAAAAGATCAGACTTACAGGAATGCTCCAGTGTTTTTCAACCTTATCTTTATTTGCCATATGTGTAGCATAAAGTCTATTACCATAATCAACAGTTTCAAAGTTGCCCTCTCCTCTGAAAAGAACAGAAAACCTTTTGAAACATGCTTATAGTAGAACCTAAGGAGGAACCTTAGGAAGGCTTTTTCTGTTTTTTGCAGGTACAGGAAAATGTAATAAAATATTCCTAAAGCTAAAAAAAACAACAACACTGAAGCGTTCATTTAAAATCACATATATTGGCTACATTCACAGTCCTATGCAACAGTCAGAGAGATCACCTTTCACTTATTCAATTTCCGGTCAAAACTACAGAGCCCTGCAGGTGACATCCCATACAGATAAAAATAATGTGTGGCCACAGCTTAGTAAGGCATGTGGATGAGATCCTGTGGCCACAACTTAGTTAGGCATGGGAATGAGATGATTAAGGCTTGACCACAGCTTTATAAGGCATGATCTCATTCCCACATCTAACTAAGTCATGGCCATGACTTCATTATTTCGTTTAATTATCTCCAGAACCTCAACATCACTGAGTCTGTTTGGGATTACTTGGATTATAAGAAGCAGAAAATGCAACCAACTTCCAAGACTGGACTTTGGAGGTGTGGAGAAATATCCCTGAAGATTTCTTTGAAAAACTGAATGCAAGTCTCCTGAAAGGAATGAAAGCTGCGGTAAAGGTGAAAAATGGACACACTAAATACTGAAAATGTTCATATTAAGTTTAGTTGTTGAGACTTCTGTGATACTCCCTGTTAAACATATGCTATGTTTTTTTCTGGTTTTTTCCTGACAATGAAAAATGAATAACTTGTACTTAATGATCATTTAACTTGATTAGAAATTAAATAAATAAAACGACTTTTGAACAGTAATGTATGCAAAGGTTATTTGTTTATCTGTTTATTTGTATTTATCTGTTTAAACGAGCTCATTGCAACTCACAGATTGAGAAAGAACTGTTTATAGTTGAATATCTGCCTACATGTTTGTTACTTAGACTCCAAATGTTGGATCATCGCTTTCCAGTACAGGCGTTAATATGGAGGCTCTGATCTTTCATTTAAATTATTAATAGAGTATTAGGCTTTATGTAGCCATCGAGGATGTAGGATCTCCTACAGGACCAAGGCAGGGAAATCTAAACAAATCTAGGATTATACAAAGCTGTCTAACACAAACACACAAACGTGAGATGGAGTCACCGCCTGAATAGACATGTTAACTGAGCTGTAATGCTCCTAACTAAAGGCTCATGTACCTGTTTGTTCTGTGTAATGTCTCTTTATCTGCAGGGCTGCTCGTTCGCCTGCCTTCATGGACAGTCATGCATTTTTAAACTCAGGATTTCACCTCAGGAGATGAACATTCTCTGGCGCTGTCAGATGAAATGTTCTGTCACTTCATAATTAAAGGCATGTCCTGGAGCCCTCACGCCTCATTTTATTTTTGGAAACAGGGCAAATGTGGCGAATGAGCTGGCCTGGTTGAGGGAGACCAGAGGCTCGGTCACTGTTGGTCAGTTTAGCTTCTTAATGACTTAATAAATAAATAAAGCAATAAAGGAAACAATGTGACCTATACATCATCACCTGCTAAGATGATGCAGTCCAAAATCATATGATAATAATACAACAACAACAATAGTAATAATAATAATAATAACAATATTAATAATAATAATAATAATAATAATATAATAATAATAATAATAATAATAATAATTATTATTATTATTATTATTATTGTGTTCACATCTAGTTTACACAGGCTTATAACATGTTTATTTGTAAAAGTTGTGCTTACTAACTACTGTTATTATGATCTTTATATTTATTATTTATTTTATTATTATGATTATTGACAATAATAACAATTTACTACCAATAGGCCAAAACAGCTTGGCCAGCCTGCGCCTCCACTTGCTTTAATTATAAATCGTCTATATCGACTGAAGAGAAGCTATAGTTAACGGTGCGCGCTCTCGCGGCCAGCTGGGGGAGCGCGCGTGACGTCACCGGCGGAGGACCGTTAGTGGGAGAATCACGACGAGGAGGAGGAGGAGGAGGAGGAGGGTGACTGGTGTGAGCATGCCGAGGACTTCTCCCAGCGGATAGACAGGCAGTGTGCGGACTGACACGGAGCCTCGTCTACAAGGGACCCTCGGACACCGCCTCGTGCACTCGGTGAGTCAAGAACAAGCGCGGTTTTCGGAGTTGTGAAGCATCTTGTTGGATTTTTCCGTTCCACCTTAAATGGTGCAGCAGTTACACTCTGGCGCGCCAAAATGTAGCTGCTGCACCATTTAAGGTGGAACGGAGAATTCGAAGAAGAAGCTGGCGAAAAGGGAGCGAACTTCAGAAGCCTCGTCCTTGACTTTCCGTCAGAGATGTAAGTTGGTCCCTCACCGCTGGATTCAGCTGCTTCTGCTGCCTGTTGTTGTTCTTTTTTGTCCACATTTCCATTTGAGCCCAGCTGCCTCTGAACCGCAGTAACAGCGCAGTCGGGGGCTGAATGGAGAGACACGTGTGCACTGAGGATTAACAGACTTTGTGTGCTGTAGACGCCGTTTCACCCAACGCTGAGCCATTGTTCAGTGTCTGCCTGTCCACTTCTGTATCAGCGCTACGTGATGTGGACTACAGGCAGCAACAGCCCTTAATAGACCCCCTACAGCTTAGCAGTAGCATTTCAAAGCATTTCCACAAAAATACCAAAATTATTAACGGTTTTGTGAAGACAAACAATGTACATCTTTTATAATCTATGAGGGTACAAAAATATGCCCTTGTGCTTATAATAGCATGAGTACAGCTTTACGGTGTGAGCAAAGCAGCACCAGCCTTAGGCTAACAACACTATAAATAGATATAACGTGCTTAATGTCCAGTCTGGGCTTCTATTAATGGCAGAAAATCACACAGTTGGTCTTGGTCGTTTCACTGACCTTGGAAGCGGCCCTGTTCTTGGTTGTGGTCCAGTTTCGGCTTGGATGTGTCTTGCAGTGCAGTTTCTCTCTGTGTAAATGTGGAAATATGTCTAGGAATGAATCCATATGCAGTTCCAATCCATATGCAGTTCATGCCAGTATGCAGTGGCTTAATGATGCATAGCACATGTGACATGAACATAGCAAAAATGGCTCATCTTCATCACATCAACATCAGTTGGAAAAAAACTCCATATTAGGCTATAAGTGCTGTATCACTTATCACAATTGTGGTCCATTAGAAATAAAATAGTTTATGCATATAAATCACATGCAGTGTGGAAAAAATGCTTTGGTATTGTTGAAAAGCAGCCATATTTTTCACTATAGTCACTTACATTATAGACAACAAGTATATTTACTCTCTCTATTTCACTCACTGTAAATTAAGGGTGTAATGATTTCAATACAGTATTGAAAACTAAAAAAGTGAGCATTCAAAACAGCATATTGAAATTTAAAACTGCAGTTTTACATTTTAAACAGCCTCTTCTCAGTGTCTCCCATTTGTCGACCTGTGGAGCCCACCAAACTGGAAAAAAATGAATTAGCATGGTCATAGTTAATGCTTAGTGTCAGACTAAGAGTATACTGTGCAAATACAACCCCAAATCCAAAAAAGTTGGGAAGCTGTGTAAAATGTAAATAAACGTCAAAAAAAAACAAAACAAACAGAATGCAATGATTTGCAAATCTCATATTTTATTCACAATAGAACATAGAACACATATCAGATGTTGAAAGTGAGACATTTTACCATTTCATGAAAAGCATGAACTCATTTAGAGCTTGATCGCGACAACGCATCTCAAAAAAGTTGGGGCGGGGCAACAAAAGGCTGGAAAAGTAAGTGGTACTAATAAAAAAACAGCTGAAGGAGTAATTTGCCACTAACTCACATGACTGGATATAAAAAGAGCATTTTAGAAAGGCAGAGTCTCTCAGAAGCAAAGATGGGCAGAGGTTCACCAACCTGTGAAAAACTGCATCCCAAAATTATGAAACAATTTCATTGTTCCTCAGTGTAAAATTGTGAAGACTTTGGATATCCCACCATGTACAGTACATAATATCATCAAAAGATTCAGAGAATCTGGAGAAATCCCTGTACACAAGGGAGAAGGCCGATGGTCAATATTGAATGCTCGTGATCTTTGGGCCCTCAGGCGGCACTGCATTCAAAACAGGCATGATTCTGTACTGGAGATCACTGCATGGGCTCAGGAACACTTCCAGAAATCATTGTCTGTAAACACAGTTCACCATGCAATCCACAAACGCAAGTTAAAGCTTTATCATGCAAAGAAGAAATCATATATAAACAGTATCCAGAAATGCTGCCCACTTCTCTGGGCCCAAGCTCATTAAAGATGGACTGAGGCGAAGTGGAAAAGTGTCCTGTGGTCCAATGAATCAAAGTTTGAAATTCTTTTTGGAAATCATGGACACTGCATCCTCCATGCTAAAGACCTCCCAGCTTGTTATTAGCACACAGTTCAAAAGCCAGCGTCCATAATGGTATGGTGGAGCATCTGTGAAGGCACCATTAATGCTGAACGAAATATACAGGTTTTGGCAACATAAGCTGCCATCCAGACAGTGTCTTTTTCAAAGAAGGCCTTGCATATTTCAGCAAGACCATGCTAAACAACATTAGCATCCACCACAACATCATGGCTTTGCAGAAGAAGGCTACGTTTACACAGCAGGTAAAAGTGGCCCAAATCCAATCTTTTTCCTCAAATGTGACACAGATGTGTCATCTGTGTGGCTGTGTGAACAGCAAAAAACGCATTGAATCTGACATTTTCAATTCCGATTAGAGATGCTTTCATATGTGGTACTGAAATCGATACGTGTCCAATCTGCGGCAATGCGACTCAGTCTGGACAGCCACATCAAAATTCATGCAACGTTTACGTCAGTACAACTCGACGAGCCCTTTTTACGGTGAACTCGAACACATTCTGGGTGATGAGTCCAGCTGTCAACCACTGGAACTTTATACTCGCTCATGTGATGCTGGCAAAGACGAAACTAAAAGCTGCGGGAGCGACTGGCGTTCGCTGGCCGTCATGACTGTTTACCTCTGGACGAGCCGCCATGTGAAGCACTGTTCTTTTGCGCATGCAGGTCGGTTTAGGAGCTGATCTGTTCAGACTGATGTCGCATACAGATCACATTTAAAAGATAATGTGAACAGCCAAACAAAAAAATCGGATTTGGTGAGAAAATCATATTTGGGCCACTTTTACCTGCTGTGTAAATGTAGACGAAGAGTCCGGGTGCTGAACAGACCTGCCCGTAGTCCAGACCTTTCATGAATAGGAAACATTTGGCTCATCATGAAACGAAAAATCTGGCAAAGAAGACCCAGGACTGTTGAGCAGCTAGAATCCTACATCAGACAAGAATGGGACAACATTCCTCTCCCAAACTCCAGCAACTGGTCTCCTCACTTCCCAGACGTTTACAGGCTGTTGTTAAAAGAAGAGGGGATGCTACACAATGGTAGACACGGCCCTGTCCCAACTTTTTTGAGATGCGTTGCTGCCATCAAGTTCTAAATGAGTTAATATTTTTCATGAAATGGTAAAAGTTCTCACTTTCAACTGATCTGATATGTGTTCTGTGTTCTATTGTGAATAAAATATGGGCCTATGAGATTTGCAAATGATCACATTCTGTTTTTATTTACATTTATTTACATTTTCCCGACATCGCAACTTTTTTGGAATTGGGGTTGTACTTTAATTGTGCCTTTGTGAAATGTTAAAGGGGAATTCCAATCTATATTTTTTAATTGCTGCATAAGTCAGTGGTTGAGATGTAAACAAAGTCATTCAGAGTGGTTTGATTTGAAATGGCTAATTCTAGAGAAGCTTACTGCATGTTTACAGTAGTGATGATAGGGTAGGAACCAGGGGCTGTGATGTCTACAATGCAAATACAGCCATTTTATTTACTATCCAAAATCACACATGAATCTCAAAGCTATTATAAGACAGTGTCTCAGATATCAGGCAGTATTCATAATGGTTTTGTGCAAAAGCTTCTTGTGAGGGAGCTTTTGGAGGCAATAATAAGTATTTCACATCAAACCACTCTGAGTGACTTTGTTTATATCTTAATCACGTAATTAAGCAGGAACAAAAAAAATCCCTGACATTCCCCTTTAATGTTGATTTGAGAATGTTATCTCTGCTCATATTGCTTTTCTGGTGTTGACCAGAAGAGGATGGGTTCCCCTTTCTGAGTCTTGGTTCCTCTCAAGGTTTCTTCCTCTTACTCTTAGGGAGTTTTTCCTTGCCACTGTTGCCATCGGTGACACTCATGGGGGCTTGGACCCAGAATTTTTCTGTAAAGCTGCTTTGTGATGACACCCGTTGTAAAAAGCGCTACATAAATAGACTTTGATTTCACTCGACTTGACTTGATATTTCAATTTTGACGCCTGTAAACGGAGACATGCTATATAAAATTTTATTTGAGGCAGCTGGGATTTTATATTGTTTATAGCTCAGTTGCACTGTTAGCACTATGTTGCAAACAAATTGCAGAAAATTTGTATTTTTCTGACCCAAATCAATCTGTGAGGTATATAATTCAGAGCTGTCACTACCATCAAACCATGTTTCGTAAACATCCTCGTAAGTGTTCTGACATGCGTTTAAACAGCAGTATACTGGCACCCTCCTCAGAGATATGTGTACACAAACAGTGTGTTTCCACACCAGGAAAAAGTACACATGATGGGAACGGAAATGTAATGTGACAGCACAAGTTGCTGAGGATGTATAGCAGCCTCCTGTACGTCTGTCTCCTCTGGGCAGCTTTGACTCACAAAAGCTCAGTGCCCTTTCCTAACTCCTGGATTTAACTCCCCAGGCCTTTCACAGTGCTGTGTTTATCAGCAGATCATTTTCTTCAGTATGTCTTGATTTGTGTTATATAACATCATTCTGTCATTCTGTTCTTTATTAAGCTACTGCTGGATGTATCAGCAGCTTTATTCCCATGAAAAGGACCATTCGAGAAAAATGCATTTAATATTTCGACTGGGGGACATTGTAAAAAATTTCCTATAATCTGGTCGAAATAATAAATGTCTCATGGCAAGGGTTAAATGAGACATGAAATTACCCTCTATCATCCTCTGGCACAGACAGATTAGTCACCATAGAGGAGCAAGTCCTG